AGGCAAACTCAGAATGATCAGTGCAAACCAGCTCAGCAGCCAGTCTAAATGAATCATTCCAGAAGTAATTCTTTGCAAAGGGATTTCCTGGTACAGTATGATTAAGAAATGTATTGTTATTCTAAGGTTAAAGAATAAACTTGGCAGATACAATCAACTGTGAGAACTTAAAAAAAAATTGGGGTGGTTTTGTATTTGGTCTACTGTATTTATCAAAAAATTTCCCTGTGTAAAATTGTGTGCTATAGCATTTACAGTATTAAACCAGGACTAAGAGTGAGGAATCCCTGATTCTAGTCTGTCTTGTACCCTTGGAAACTTATCAGGTGTTTTTGGACCAGTCACTACTTCTTAAGCCCTCCTCGTAAGATTGATGCAAGCATTTTTGCTCCAGGGGAAAAAAAAGCAGGATATAAATCTAACAACAACTAAATAAAAATGAGTTATTTAAGATGGCAGATTCATTTTAAGATTCTCTGAGAATTCAGTAATGGAGAGAAATAAGTTTTCTATCTAGTCTTCTCTTTGAGGGAGAGGGATGTCTTAGATTTGGGGGCATCTTCCTATGCCTCTTATTTAAATATTGTTGAGAAGTCCAAACATGCTCCAAAATTTATTATTTCTTCTTAAATTTCACAAGAGGTTTATTAGGACTTCCATTTCAGAAGAAGACTGTCTCAGGCAAACAGCTCCATTTGCTTTTCTGGAAGCATACTTTTCATCTTAAGATTATGTTTTCGTTGCTCTTCCATCCTGTTGAAGCAGAACAGAACATTTATCTTTTTAGTAGCTGGAGAACAAGATCCCTAGCCAGTGGGAGACTGGTCATTTACCAGCTATCCCATTAAGTTATGCAACAAGCACAAGTCTTTGAAGAGGATGCATTGGCCTCCTTATTGCACATCATTTCATACCCAAGATAGCAACAATTTTGTTTTCTCCCAAAAAGTAGACTTTCTTCATAAACATCCAGTGTAATTAAAAATAGATAAAAATGTCATACAGTGTTGATATTATTGATATTATCACACAGTCAGCCAGATGTTTAGACTGGATTTGACATTTTTATCCACCTATCGAGTCCTTCCCAAGGACCTGGGATAGGCAGATGTTGCTGATGGTATTAAAGGTATCATCGCAGGATGTAAGCTGTTCCAAGTAAAGCTGTCTTTTGCAATTGACTTATTATTGTTGGTCACTCAATCAGTTGTTATTGTTGTTGTTGTTATTATTGTTGTTGTTATTATTATTGCTTTACAGGATCTGTTTAAACACTGTAGTCACAGACAATAAACCAATGTTTATTGTTTCAGGATCAAGCCATGTGCTCTTTCATTCACTCCATATGCTATATCTTGCTTCCTCCACCTATAGGCTTAGCTTTAGTATTTCTGTTGTGGAATGTTAAATCAGTTTCTGGTGATGTCTGAGTTATTGCTTGCAAACTAGAATCTGAAACTAAGAACTCACGGTTTTTTAAAAAATGGATTAAGTGCATCCATGGTTAAAGATAGTGATGAACAAGCTTCTCCAACTCATCTAGAAAAGCATTCTTTTATCTCACCTTTGGGGGAGATGTTTTAGAAAATTTAACTCTAGTTTTATTCTAGCTTTTCTTTAAGAAAACAACCTTAGGAAAAACCAAATGCAAGTGATCAGCCCCATTCCCACAAGCTAAGTTCAGAGACCTCAAGTCCTTTCATCCCTACCTCACCATCTACAGTACTATTCAAATTCCTCCATTTTCCTACTGATCTAGAAATAGAACTGCAAGAGCCTGTAGTATTTATGTTTATAAACAAATACTACAGGCTTCCCCATAGATATATAATTTTTATTAAGAATTTTGATTGTAATAATGAAACCTAATACAAACTAAACTTAGAGAAAAAAAAGAAAATAGAATGAGTAAAAAGTGCAAGGAAAAAGAGAAAAAGTAAAAGAGAAGAAAGAGAAAAGTAAGAATATAATAAAAGAAGAGAAAAGAAATATATAAGGAAGTGACTTCCAACCTTCATCACAAGTATAACAAATTTAGTAACTCTTCACCCTCTCTAAAGTTATAAACATTTACCTCTTCATCCCATTTCCCATCTCTTATCTATAAACAAATCCATAAAACATCATCTTTTCAGTCCTGATGTTAGCAGAAAGTCCAGAACTAGTAGCCAGAAGTAACAACATATCTTATTTTAACCTTGATCAAATAAACCAACTTTATATTCCTTCTCTTTACT